TGCGGGTGGGTATATATATATATATATATATATATATATATACTATTATTAAAATGTATGTGAGTGGGACGGGCGTTGGGTTGGAATTTTAATATTCAATTTTAATCTACAGGTATTGACTGGACAGATGCATCGCACCGGGCCATGCTGTAGTACATCATAATGCACATTTGATAGATAGGACGTGGTGGGAATAAGTTCGATTGGAGCGCCGTATTTTTAGTTTAGCAGGAAAAACCTTAGATGGATTTAATTATAGTTACAAGCCTGGAAAAAAAAAAAAAAAAAAAAGAAAAAGAAAACCCACCGGGGTCCCCCAATCCTGGGCGAGGCTCTATGTAGGCGCTCCCGGAGTGGGAGTCGGCGTGGCCGTCCCAGACGATATCCCCCCTTTCCCACCAACGCTTTTCTCCTTCTTCCTCTTCCGCTTCCTCGCCCCGACCACAACAGGCTTAACGGCATACTCGCCGACGGCCAACTCGGACCCGCACGTCAAACACTCCGCAACGCCGTCAACGCCGCCCAGCGGCTCGCAGAAGATGCTCAGACAGATGCTGCACACGAAACCGACATCGACCACGCGCCGATGGCAGAAGCAGGCTGCGCGGAAGTCCACGTCGACGCGGCTGGGCAGGACGAGGTGTGAGCGCGCGCGCTGGTCCGGGAGGAAGCCCAGCATCAGGTACTGCAGGAAGCCGGCGGGGTGGGAGGTGGCGGGGATGTAGATGCCGCGGGTGGCGTCGGAGGCTTGCTGGAGGAAGGCGGCGTCGCCGGCGAGCTTGAGGATGTCGATGGGGATGTGCAGGCGTTGGCAGGCGAAGATGCTGTTCATGATGGGGATGTAGTGGTGGGCGGAGTGGGTGGTGCTGCTGAGGGAGATGATGAGGATGCGGGATTGGAGGGCTGAGGGGTTGGGGAGGTGGGAGGTTGTCGCTGATGCGGTGGTGCCGGGGGGAGGTGGGAGGCCTGATGCTGTGCTGTTTGCGGGGCCGGAGGTGGAGGAGCCGTCTGGCCTTGCGGTGCCGTGGGTTTCGGCGTAGGCGATGGTTTCGCGGTTGATGTGGCTCAGGGCCAAGGTTAGGGCGCCGGCGATCAAGGTTGAGGTTGTGGAAGCGATGTCGGCAGCGGTGGTGGTTGAGAGCAGGGTATGGAGGTTGCGGGTTAATTGTTCTTCGACAAGGCGGAAGGGGCGATATTTATTTAGAGGCTCTTCTTGTTCTGCTTGCTGGTGTTGTCCGGCCGACTGTTGGTCGTTCATGCTGATGTCTCCATCTGGCGGTGCGTCTTTGGAGGGCGCATCAGTCTGTGAGTCTGAGGATTTGGGGGAAGCGGGGGTAGGGTAGAGCCAGGCTGCATGATGACAGTGGGAGGCGACGACGGCGACTTTATTTGCATAGTTACAGGCCAGATGGGCGTTGATGAAGACGAGGAGGTTTGCAATAGCGGCGGAGAGAGGGAGGGATGGCTCAAGGCGGGCCCAGGCATGGGGGTTTGTATCGAGGATGATGGTGAGGAGGGAGGGAGTGGGGCCTGCAAGATGAGAAGGGATGCATTCATCAGTTAGTCGATTGTTACACTGATTAATTAGGCTGGAGTGAAGAGCGAAGGGGAATGGGATATACCACTAGAAGAGGGATCGTAGTGGGTTGGGCCATCGACAGTGTTCATGGTGAGAGCGTGGCCGCCGTGGCGGGTGCATGGAGGATGGATGGAGGTGAAGGCGATAGATAGCTACGGTGGCATGGTGGGAAGGAGATGAAACGATTGCTGTAGCTGCCGGTATTCGTCAGACGGTGGTTGCAGACGCAGCTCTAGCTGTAACCGTAGTTGTGGCTATAGCTGCAGATGTAGCTTGTAGCTGTAGTTGTGGTTGTGGGTGTGGTTGTGGTTGTATCCTGAAGCTTGTGGTTGAGGCTGCTTGCAAAACGTAAATATTTAATTTTTGCTTCAACTTTATCTTCGGCTTGATCTCCTGTGATCCCTGGAACACCAGCATCACACACTGCCACAACAGATAAGCATTGGCAAATACAAACTGCGCCTGGACAAAACCCAAGACAAATACTAATCCAATATCCTGGCTATTATGGAGGAACCCAGCGCGACATACAGAGCAACACTACGTGGACTCATCGCACGAGTACAAAGCGCCGCTCTTATCAGTCGATGATGTCGATGACTCGTTTCATTCGCATAACTAACTATGGATCAACTATCTCAACTATGCAAGAGCCAACCCGGCTGGTCTCTTGTCTGCTCTCTGGGGAAAAAGAAATTATATCGAGTCATCGGAGGAGGACAGAGAGTTTACGGAGTACCTTACGTCTCACCAGCTAGTTGGTTATGATTGCTAGTATTTAATTCCGCCGAATGCTTCATGGGGATTGCTGATTCCGTTGGAATTTTTGCTCTCTCTCTCTCTCTCTCTCTCTCTCTCTCTGACTGATGACTGTTAATTCTCAACATACAACTCGATACAGCTCACACTTCCCAGAGGAGAAAGAAAAGATAAACAAATTAACAAATTATAAAATAATAA